GACATGCAAGCTAGGGGGAGGTTTGAGAGGTGGGCTTGAGTGGAAAGGAACCCCTCATGGAAGGACAAACAGGAGAATGCTGTGGGGTTCTGAGATGTGGCAATCTGGGAAACCACCCACCCCTCCCTGAAGGAAAGCTGTGCTACTGGATTAGGGCAGATCCTCCAGCAGGTTACATACCAGCCCAGCACCATAGCAACCAAGCATTTAGGCCCCTCCCCCATGAACAGCCCTTGGGGTCTGGAGAGCCTGCCCTGATTTTCCTCCCAGGTGCTTCCCCTAGCAGCGGAAAAGCAACCTCTGAGCCCTGCCCAGGCTTTGCAAATGCTTCCAGGCTCATGCAACCTAACCACACTCTGCCTCACTCCTCCACCCACCTCTGTTGTGGTAGAGATCAAGAAACCCCCTGGGAGCTACAGGGCCCCTCCCAAAGTCTGAGTGTCCCATCTGAGGGACTAGAGCTTACCACAGACACAAAAGAACATCTTGGCAGTTGGTTCTTTCATGCAACCATCAACCACTGAACTCTATAGTTCATCACAGCATCTAGCAACTCAATCAAATAGGGCACAGCTGATTCTTACTCACAAGTACCATCCACCATCTCAGAGATTAAGCTGGGGGACCCAATATAATTCACACTGCCAAGAAGAGGTGAAGACAGCAGGATAGAGACAACCTTAGGGGACACTGTTTATTAGGAGAGAAACAAAAGTGATGGGCAGCTCGATCTGTGAGGGGTCTCGTTCTTCCACTGCGGACCTCTGGGCTCATCAGGGAGCTGCTCAGAGTTTGTGCAGAGACATTTCACTGAAGAGCAGGTGCAGCAGAGATTTGGTGCTTACCAACACCAGGCTTCTGCAACTGATGACATCCTGATTGCTCTGGTGCACAGAATCAGATCCACTCAGGACCCAGCCACCAAGCAGTAACCTTAGCATCACCCCTGCTTGGCTAGAGAAGGAGCAGACACTCCCTTATGTTGAGCCCTAGGACAGAGGGTTGAACATGCCTCCTCCCCAGCATGGAAGCCAAACAGAGGGGGAGCCTCAGATGCCATAGGTACCATTTGGGAAGCCTTGGACAACTGCTTTAATGTGTCCTAGTTGTTGGAGGAGAAACATGAATGACCAGTAGTCCTGGCCCACCTATGTGGAACCTGGGCCCCTGAGAGAAAACCCTGCTTGTGTGACTGAGCATCAGCATTCCCCACTTTGGTGGAACAGCCTATGGGTGGGTCTGCCCATGAAATCCTCAGAACCAGTTCTGAAGCTCTCCCTGCACCTGAGTCTGAGGCTCCGCCCCTGTAGCTCCAGGGCTTCCAAAGAACCCATGACTCCATCCCTGTGCCTGGACCCCAAGACCCCAAACTGAGTCCCCACCACTACCTCTGGGCCAGCAGAACTTCTCTGAGGTCCAACATTTCACTCAGGAACCCCATCCCTGAATAGCCATCACTCCTGGACCTGATTGAAGAGAGTCCCCAGCAAAGGAGAATAGGTGCCCTGCATACTTATAACTCAGAACTGAGAGAAGAGAAGCCAGATGGGAAGAAACCAGCAAAAGAACCCTGGCAAGATGAAAATACAAAATGCCAACAAGAGAACACAAAGGAGCTATAGCATGGACTCCACTGACAAGGAAATTGCCAAAATGACAGAAATGGAATTCAGAATATGGATGGCAAATAAGATAATTGGAATAAAGAGAAAGTTGGAAACCAACAAAAGAAGCCAAAACAATATTTCAGGAAATTAATGAAAAAAATGAAAAAGTTACTAGAGAGCTAGACAACATAAGAAAGGATATAATAGAACTTAAAGAAATAAAAGAGTCATTTAGGAAATTTCAAAATGCAGTTGAAAGCTTTAACCATAGGCTAAACCAAGGAGAAGAAAGAATCTCAGAGCTTGAAGACGAGGCTCTTGAGATAACCCAGTCATTCAGAGAGGCAGAGAAGAGTATAAAAAAGTTTAATCAATTGCTGAGTAAGATATTTGACTATGTGAAGGATACTAATATTTGAACTATAGGTATCCTTGAGGGTGAAGAAGAAAGAGTGATTACAGCAACAACAAAAATAAATAAATGGCACTTGATTAAACTAAAAAGTTTCTGCATAGCCAAGGAAATAATCAACAGAGCAAATAAACAACCTACATATTTGGAGGAAATATTCACAAGCTACACATTCAATAAAAAGCTAATAACCAGACTTTATAAAGAACTCAAGCAATTCAGCAAGAAAAAGACAAACAACCCTATTACAAAGTGAGCAAAAGACATGAACAGATGCTTCTCAAAAGAAGAAAGACAAAAAGCCAAGAAACATGAAAAACTGCTCAATATCACTAATCATCAGGGAAATGCAAATTAAAACCACAATGAACTATCACCTATTCCAGTTAGAATGGCTTTCATTAAGAAGTTCAAAAACACCAGATGCTTGTGTGGGTCCAGAGAGAAAGGAATGCTAATACACTCTTGGTGGGACTGCACATTGGTATAACCTCTATGAAAAACAATATAGACATTCCTCCAAGAACTAAGAGTAGACTTACCATTCTATCCAGCAATTCAACTACTGGGTTTTTACCCAAAGGAAAATAAGTATTTTATTTAAAAGACACTTGCATTTGAATGTTTATTGCAGCACAATTGCAAAAATATGGAATCAACCCAAGTGCCCATCAATTCATGAGTAGATTAATAAAATATGGTATATATATGCAATGGAGTACTACTCAGCCATAAAGAAGATTAATTAATACCTTTACAACAATCTGGGTGGAACTGGAGACCATTCTCCTATGTGAAGTATCGCAAGAATAGAAAAACAACACCACGTGTTGTTAAATTGGAACTAACCTATGAGCACACATGTGCAGAGAGGGAAGTAAAATTTGGTGGAAAGCAACCAGTGGGGAGGGGAGGGGAATAAACCAACCTAACAGGTACTGTGAACACTATTTCGGTGACTGGCACACCTATAGCCAGGACTCAAGATTACAAAAATGATCCATGTAACCTAAAACATTTGTATTCCCTTCATATTTTGAAATGAGAGAGGAAAAAAAATGTTCAAAAAAATAATGAATAAAATGTCAAAGATGTTCCTAACATCTAACTGGCCCCTGTGCTCAGCAGTGGCTGACAGGGCACTGCAGTGCCAGGGCCTGGGGTTGGAGTGTGCCGTGCCAGGCCTTGTGTGTCCTGGAGTCCGTGGGCTCCCGTGGACCCCGGGGGACTGGGCAAGAGCCATTTCTCCCTTGGGGCAGCCACAACACACCTACCCACTCCGAGCAGAAGGGCTCACTGGGCCTCTCGGACGCCAGAGAACTGTTATGGAGTAGCATTTTAATGAACGGAGTGTAAATACATTAAAAACACATGGAATTAATGCTCCTTGAAATAAACATAGGTTTTTAAAAAATGAAGAGAAAGGCAAATGTTTTGGCAAAACACATTTTGGTTTTTTTGAACCCCAAATATTTGAAAACTGTTCAGGCAATCTGACTCAATCCAGAGTGCCATTTAGTTCTCCCATGGTAACTAATAACACAAAAGTGGGAAAATTGAGCATCTTTCTCTCGTCATGGCATTTCCTGAAAGACACAGACCAACAGGAAGACTTTCAGAGAACAGATTTTAAAATACTCAGGAAATGAAAGTTTTGATTTTTGTCAAGAAATGAGAAGAGGTAAATAAATATGTGTGGTTTAATTGACGGAAGACAAAGGCGTAAATGGCTGCTACTTTATTTAAATCTCTGGTCCCCAACCCCCAGGCAGCAGACCAGTGCCAGTCTGCGGCCTCTTAGGAGCCAGGCCACACAGCAGGAGGTGAGCGGCGGGTGAGCAAGTGAAGTTTCATCTGTATTTATAGCTGCTCCCTGTTGCTCACTTAACTGCATCAGCTCTGCCTCCTGTTAGATCCCTGGTGGCATTAGATTCCCATAGGAGCACAAACCCTACTGTAAACTGTGCATGCCAGGAATCTAGGCTGCACACTCCTTATGAGAATCCAATGCCTGATGATCTGAGGTGGAGCTGAGGTGGTGATGCTAGCGCTGGGGAGCGGCTGCAAATACAGATTGTCATTAGCAGAGACGTTTGATTGCATAATAAATTTAATTCGCTTGAACCATCCCCAAATTATCCCCCAACCGGGGTCCATGGAAAAATTGTCTTCCATGTATCTGATCCCTGATGCCCAAAAGGTTGGGGACTGCTGATTTAAATGACAGGTATGTGGCTGGGAACCAGATACTGAAGGTTAATGCTTCTGACTCAAAAGTCACAACCAATCTTATTTTATAAAACAAAAAAGCAACAAAAAAATTTTAAAACCTTTATCATTAATACATTTTCTAATCCTAGTCTTATATATACAATGGGTCTTGTGTAAAAGTGAAACTCCTAGAAGACTGGGGATGCTGAGGCCAGAGAACTTGCCTACCTGGATACACCCCACTGGGCCTGAACCTTGACCACTAGGCCTGAGAAATACAGACCCCCTCCCCCAGCCCTCTCCTCCAACTGACCAGAGTGCTCACTGACAACTAACTGGGAGACCCAACCCACTCCTACCGCCAGCTCTAGGCGTGGAAATCTCATGACGTTCTGAACTTCATCACTCTCCGGTCCTTTAGCTGTCCTCCAACTGCCCCCACCGCCACTTCCTCACTTCTCTGGGAACTAACTCATTTCCCAACAGCCACTTGCTCTCAGAAGGCTGTTGGCTCAGGTGTGAGCTAATAAGCAAGGTGTTTGCTGACAAGGGCTTAACACCTCCCAAGTGCATTTGCATTTTAATAGAGGACTGTTACCAGAATTCAGTTCCCAAAGGAATGAAGTTATGATGGTAAAGTGCCAGGAACCCAGTGGGTATTTCAGAGCAAGGAGCCCTCTCCTTAGATCCTAACACCTGGTTAGCTGATGCGTGTCAACAGCTCTCTGGAGTAGAACATGAAATCATTTCTCTTCACCCTGCCTAGGCTCGAGAGCAGCACCCACAGTCAAGCAGACATCTCCCAGCAGCAGAATCCGGAGTCCCAGAAATCTTGACTTTGCAAGATGGCATGTCAGTGGAAAATTCCAAGGAACTAGAAACAAGTCACTCTTTGAAGCCATGATGGAAATCTCCTCTGGGACCAGATGCTATGGCAGGTGCTAAACTTACAGGTATGAGTTACAAGTAGTTCCTGACCTCAAAAAAACTCACTGTTTGGTGGAGGAGGCCCCTCTCAACAGAGAGATATGGGAGCACAAAGGAACAAGGAGATACTTCTGCTGTGAGCTGGGGGAGCTATTCCCCCCACCCCCACTGCTCTGTCTTACCCCTACTCCTTGCATCCTTCTCCCCCCACCCAAACACACATTTGGGGGCTTTCTGAAGATATCTATATCTATATCTATATCTATCTATCATCTATCTATCTATCTATCTATCTATCTATCTATCTATCTATCTATCTAGTGACTTTATTTTAGAAGTTTTCAAATTTATAGAAAAGCACAAAGCAGGAAACTAAAGTCACTGATAATGTCACCATCCCTGGAATTACAGAGTTAACCATTATTTATGTTCTTCTAATCTTTAATCTACACTTAGTGATCTATTTCTAATAAGAAAATGATCATATGTATTTATTTTATATGCTGCCCCTCATTTATTATATTACCAGAATTTCCCCATGTTGTTAAACATACCATGAAAGGTTCCCAATGTAATAGGGAATACATTTGTAATTGTATTCCCTATTACAAAGGGAATAACAAAGAATTTTCTGATGTGCTTAGGTTTCAGCAAGATCTCTTTATTCTATTTATTTAACACTCAGGCTAATGGGGAAGAGAATTGTAAAATTGTAAAAATTTTAAACACAGGAGCTTGCACTGAGCAATATAGAACATTTTAAAGAAGAAAGTTTGAAAGTGTTGCATTTTCATTGACATTAACACATGGAAATTTGAACCATTATCATTTTCACACCAGCTTTTGTTGTGTGACTTATATTATCTAATGTGTTTCACAAATCTTGAGGTTAAGTTAAGAGGTCATTATTGCATAAAATGGACAAACTAACAAGTTTTATTTCTAGGAGGATTTGTATTTTTTCCCCTTGGATGTTAAGATCTCAGGAAACTGTGAGGGAAAATATTTAGGGAGCAAAAATATACTTGTTTTGAGATGTTTTTCCCCCTTAGCTTATCTGGTCAATAGCCACATTACACTAACTTGTTTTCTTAACGGGAAACTCACATTTCTAAATCCATATTCTTCTTCTGAAAGAGGAACTTCTTAGTGTAGCCAGACACTTCTCTATGACAAAGCTTGTTGTGCATCATACCTTTGTAAAACCTCTTTTGACTCTTCATAACATCTTGGTACCTCTACCATGACTATAAACAAAGAAAGCTTGTTAAAATGCCCTTTCCCCTATATTCCAATTCCTTAATGGGGTAGGAAGGATCCTTATTTTTAACACATTCCCTGGGGGATCCTAATGTCCAAGGATCACTCTTTGAGAAGCACTGCCCTACTCAATAAAGGCTCATCTCCTTAGCACAGGATGCAAATCCCTCCTTAATCTGGCTTCCACCAGATCCATCCCCTAGCAGACTTATTCATTATTTGTCACACCAATTACCCCCTCTTCTCTAACACACCATTCCACTCCATGCCCTCATCCAGTTGATCATGTGGTGTAGCTGTCCTTTCCTCCCTGGGTGTACTGAAACCTTCATGATCTTATGGGTCCAGATCAAATATTTCTTCTGTGAAACCTTCCCCTGTTCTGTAGGTAGAATGAATCTAGTCTTTCTCTGTGGTTTTAGAACCTGCTGCTCTTGTAACACTTCTCACAGAATTACTTGTATGTTTGTTTTTCTGCTAATTGGTACATATCATCCTATTCTGTGCCTGGTGGTTTCCTAGCTAGTGCTGTTCTAAGCACTTTATATATAAAAATTCATTCATTCCTCCCAACATCTCTAATTATGCTATTATTATTCCCATGTTGGAGCTGAGGAAACTGTGGCTGAGTTAAGTGAGCAAATAGATGAATGAATATTATAAATATTTATAGAATACAAGAACAGCTGGAGTAGCTGCAGGGAACAGATCCCATTTCCCAAGCCTGAGACTTGAGGGACATGGGGAATGACTGCCAATATTTCATAGGAGAAATAAAGATAATAGGTGCTATGGTCTGAATGTATGTGCCCTCCCCCCCAAAAAAATCACATATTGAAATACTCATTCCCATGGCAATGGTATTAGGAGGTAGGGCCTTGAGGGAGGTGATTAGTTCATGACAGCTGAGCCCCCATGAATGGGATTAGTGCCCTCTACAGGAAGATCCAGGGAGCTCGTTTGCCCTTTTCACTATGTGAGGACACGGCGAGAAGGCACCATCTAGGAACCAGGAAGCGGGCCCTCACCTGACACTGAATCTGCTGGCGCCTTGATCCTAGGCTTCCCAGCTTCCAAACTTGTGAAAAATTAATTTCTGTTGTTTATAAGCCATCCAGCTCACAGCTCTTTGTCATAGCAACCTGAAAGGACTAAGATAATGGGACACTGAAAATTCAAAATTTGAAAAACAGCTATTTTAAAAAACCTATCTCAAAATTTTTTTGTACATCTCATATAGAAATTAGAGTTTAGCAATATAAGTCTTTTCATAATTTCTTTATCCCTACTCCAAAATACAGTATGGAGAGATTTCCTTTATGGGCACAAAATGCCCCTTCCCGGGATGTTCTGCAGAGGAGGCCTTTCTACTTTCGCCCTGGACAACTCTTCATTCAAGGTACAGGAGACTCTCTGTATGCCAGATGCAGTGGCCTCCTCCCAGTTCCTCAAACACACCATTTCTCTTCCCGCCTCAGAGCCCTCACCCTGTAACGCTCTGCCTGTAACGCTCCTCCTCCCCTCCCTCAGTCAACCCAACTCATCTCGCAAAGCCAACATCCAGTGGGCCCACCCCCAACGTTTTCAGGGCTCACAGCAAGAGTGGAGGCTCCCATCCTGTGGACAGAATTTACACTTCTCAGACTCCATGGGGTTTCACATGGGAAAGCTGCAGTGTAAGTACGAGGACTCCTGGCTCCAGGCTAGTGGCCAAAGTCCCATCTCTCTTCTTTCCCCGTCCTTGGTTCCATCTCACATCATGAAAGGAAGAACTTGTGAACATCCCAGTGTGTATATCAAAATCTACACATGCACACACACTCACACACGCTCACACACGCTCTCCCCGCACGCAGCTCCTCTGGGCCACCACCCAGATGCCTAACGGTATGTGTATTTTCCTATAGTCCCCACTGGGATGATGGGCCCAGGGAAGAGGCCTGTACAGGCCTTAGAACCAGGCTTGAGGTGCTCTGTACAGGAATTGAGAGGTTCAGAGTACCCTGAGCATGATCTAGAAAGGATGTGTGGACTCTTTTAGAGGGCAGGCCCACGGACTCTTGTATGGGGCTATGGGTGGTACTAAACCCAAAGATCCCTTTCTCCAAGAAGTCTTCTCCAAGTGTAAACCTCCAGTTAAACTTTCATAGCATTCTCTAGTTCTCTTTGAAGCACTTAAAATGATACTTAAATAACTCAAAGTTTAATGAATTATTACTTAAATTGGTGGTATAAAGTCTAACCCCTTTACTAAAAAGTCAGCTTCACAAGGGAATCTTGTTTTGTGCACCTCTGTATTTCCATTGCCTAAAACAGTGTCTGGCAAACAAAAGGTGCTCATTGCATATTTATTGAACGGATAAATGAAAAGAAAGCCGCTGAGACCTCTAGAAATAGTTTAGGCCTCTCAAAAAACATTACGCGAACTCTTTTGCTTTTTCTTGCAAATCTCTAGTATTATCACCATCAACAGCTTTAGAGAATAAAAGTTCAAATATTACAAAAGATTTTCTAACACTTTGGTTCCAAAGATAAAGTCCCCAGGGGGTCTCTAGGGATAAAGGGTTTAGGTAAGATTCCCAGGCACAGGGCCATAAGAATATGTACAGTGCGAATCCTATAACAGAAAGCCAATATCACACCATGCACAGCTTTTTCTTTCTGGAAAATTACAAAGTTAACGTCTAAAAAGTCAGACTGGAAGTGAAAAGAATAAAATCTACTCTTCACAGGACTGCATGCAATTCTACTCAGAGATCTTCATAAAATCTTAAGGGAAAAATCCTTTTTGAAAGAAAAACAACTCTGGGTGGTGCTTGAAAATTCAGAAGGCAGCTAGAAGCTTTGCCAATGACAACTGTAAGTAATAACATGGTATTAAGTTTTATTTTCCACTTTTAAGACCGGATTTTTTTGAAACCAGCAGGTATGTGGAGTTATATTTCTAACAGACATTCTGCAAAAAATTTTTTAATAGTTCTATTTATCTTGGTTGGTATGAAAACTTCGACCTTCAAAGGTAAGGTTTTGATTCATTGAGAGATGGAATCCTTATGGACAGAAGGCCTGACTGCCTCAGTTTGGGGTTTTAGTTGTTTCCAAGGTTCTCTTTTTTCCAACTTACTGATCAGTGGGCAAAAATTATCTTCTAAATTTGAAAATCTGTTCTCACTTGAAGGTTGTTCTGTAATTCAGAATGATCTAACAGAGATAATATTGTACATATATCAGCCTTCCTCCAAAAAACACTGAGAAATGACAAGGCCACCTTACCCTGGAAGCCACTTTGGACAATGACTATTATTTAATGAAAACTGTATTCCAAGCCATGAAAATTCAGAGTGCTATAAAAAAAAAAAAAAAAAAAAAGGCCTCTTCCTTTAGAATCTGCTGAATTTCCCAGAAGCTTAACAAATCCCTGTCCTGTAATCTCTCTGGGAAAGAGCAGACAGCAAACATTAACACTGAAGGCCTAAAAATAAAACCCGCCAAACAATGCACAGTGCAGCAGAACACTGTCACTCATCTGTCACGCCTCCTGTGACCCAGGGGTTCTCAGCCTTGGCACAGTCCACACTCTGGGCTCAATAACCCTCATACAACTTCTCTCCTTTGCCTCCTGCTTTTTGCTACTGTAATAAAATACATATAACATCAATTGATCATTTTAACCATTTTAAGTGTATAAAGTACAGTGGCAGTAAGTACATTTACATTGTTGTGCAACCATCAGCAACATCCATCCACAGAACTTTTTCATCTTTCCCAGTTGAAACTCTGTACTCATTAAACACTATCTCCCCATCACACCCTGGCTCTAGTCCCTGGCAATCACATGAGTGTGTGTGTGTGTGTGTGTGTGTGTGTGTGTGTGATGATAATGTCATAAAGTTAAAAGGTCCAGGGAGCAAGTGTGATTTTTCCTGCACATTGGTGTCCTATGGGGATTAGGAGACCAGCCTGTGCCATCAGACCACCTGGGTTCAATACTGCTCACGCCCATTGTTGACTATGGAATGTGAGACAGGTTGTTTAAGGTCTTCCTTCCTCAGTTTCCTCGTCTACAAAGCAGAGTTGATCGATCATAGCACTGTCACGTAGAATTAAACGAGTTAATAAACAGAAAGTGCTGAGTCTACCTCACACTTCCTCAAATCCAAATTCTGTTCAACAGTGATCTCCAGGTCAGTTGTTGATATTGGCCTAAAAATCTCAGGGTAGATCAGTTCATGGCGGTAGAAATAGAAGATATTTAATCCCACTGTCCTCTCCCTGTTAGAACCGATATCTAACTTGGAGTGTAATGTATTGGCTCTGTGAATCTGGATTTTGTTTTCACACTCTGGGATCAGAGGACATAATCAAGAGCAGGCTTGGACTGTGACTCGACTATGTGGCTTGTATGCAGACGTGACTGCTGTCAGCTCTCAGCCAGGACACTTGAGGCGTGTGAATTAGGAGATGTTTCTGTTGTCCTGCAGGTACTGAAACGCCAACTCCAAACTTCCCGGAACTCACGCTCTTCTTCCGTAATGTGAGCCCCAGACACGTGGTTCCTCCCTCCACTCTCTAAATATTGTTTTCCCTTCTTCCACATCATTTGAATAAGGCAGTGTGGGGCCTGACAGATGCTAAATTGGTAATTAGTATCTAACATCAGATTTCACAGATTTGAACGCTGCCTCCACTACTTACTGCTTATGTAACGTACGGGAAGTTCTTAACCTCAGTTTCTTTGTCTGTTGAATGGGAATAACCATGGTGCCTGTCTCACATGATTATTGTGAGAAATAATGAGATACCAAATGTAACATGTGTGGCATGCAAATACTACCTTTCTCATCCATATGAATGCCAAGCCTTAGAAAGTGCAGAACACTTTCATTGCCTAGACAGATAAGTTCAGCAAAAAACAAGGTTTCTCAAAGAAATGTCTGCTGCTGAACTATTAAAATTTAGTAGTATGATATATTGGTGCTGTGGACCACACTGAATACTATTCTAGAAAGAAACCTTCTAGAATTAAAAAGAAATAGTCCTTAGGAATTATTTATGTGGTAGCAGCTGTGCTAATGATTTTGGAAATATTTTCTCATTCAAATTTTCATATAGTCTACCTAAGAGAACGTGTAATTACCCCTACTTTTGCAGAGGAAGAAAATGAGGCAGTAGGAGGTTAATGAACATGTCCAAGGTCACAGAACTAGTAAATGACAGGACAAAATACACTTTGGTCGTGTTCTCATCTCCTGTGTGGCATTGCCTCCATGCTAGTGTTAGCGGGTGAGGCTTGATGGTACAATAATGATAAATAATGAAATAATCTTATCAAAGAACTATGCTGTATTTTACAATGCATGTAAAATTCATATATTGTCGTTTAAAGGAAATCTGTTCATATGTACTTGTCAACTGAAGCTAATTTTATTTTTTTATGTATAACACAAATTTAACTGACGTATAACTAAAACCAAAATTGTGAATGGTATTAGCGTTTTCTTTTAGCTTTGAAATTTGGTGATTATAAAGCTGGTCTGTGCAAAGCTTTAGCTTGATTTCTGCTCACTAGTTCAGTTTTGAAGACAGAGCCGATACCTATGTATGTTCATTGTTGAAAAGACCTTCCCATTTTGAATGCATGAAACTGGTTGAATTTGAAAAGTCCACTGCTTAAAATTCGTCCATAACCAAATTATAACTTAAGGAGAAAAAAATTACCTGATTTACTTGTTGCTTTCCACATTTTGACATGTTTTCAATGGTAGAAAGCTGTTCTAAAGAAAAGTTGGGGATGGGGGTGGAGGAGAAACCTTGAGGGCTCTGTAATACACAATTTGCGTCATTTGCTTTTCTAAATTGCTGTTTCTCGCCAGTGTCAATAAACTGCCGTAAGTGGTTTAGCATGTTTTGTTGGCCGTACCTCCGCATAACATAAACAACGCGTCTAGTATTCTCTTCACAATTGATGACCATGGGTGCTGTGTAACTACCCTATATAACCCTTAATGAGGGAATAATGAAATTTACCTTGCAAAGGTATCAAAAAACAAACATGCTTTTTTAGTGCCTAGGTCGATGACTAACTTCCCAATTGCACTGTAAGAATTTTATATATAGGATGTCTTAAATTCCAATCCACATGCCAAACAAGCATTTTAAAACCTGTGCTTGTCTTATCTGGTATGACATCAGGGTGATTAATTTTTTCAACCTTTTAGGACACTGTCAGCTGGGATTCAGAAATTAATCAGGAGCACTCAAGGTCTGAAGAAAATGCAAGCTGTTGAATTAAGACAAGATGTTTGTACTGAGCACTAGCAGGAATGAGGTGCTATATGCAGTAACTCGTTAAAAAATGTTGTGCATTGAGGTATTTACATGACCTTCCATGGGAATATCTTAGTTATATTTTTAATTTATACAATCAAGGCTTAAGAACAACAGGCAGCACATTGTGTGAGAGTCTGTCAGAGGAAACATCAGGTGGATTTGGAAGCACAAGGCAAAATCATTTTTCAAATTATGAACTCCATAAAAGGGATGGAGTTTTCGTGTTGTTGCTTTTTAAAAGGAATAATAATAAACAGAAAATGCCAATATTCAGTACATTTGGGTTATCTTAAAAATAAGTTTTTTTTTTTCAGAAAAAGAAAGGCAAAAGTTAATTACTTTGTTGTGTGAGAATCTTTGTGATTCTTGAGACTGACCAAAAAAAAAAAAAAAAAAAAAAAAAGGGAAGGGATTTTTAATAAGTAGGTTTGGAAGGCCAAGTTCATAGTGTCCTTCCAAGCTGGATAAATCAAGAAGAATGCTCTTTACCAAGAAAGGGATGGTCTTTTGGAAGAGAGGGCAATCAAGCTAGATTCCTTCTACTCGGCAGGAACATCAAAGTTCTTGTGGTGGTTCAAAGAAGAATCTGCTTCCATACATTTGCCCAGATTTTTGGCACCTGGTTTAAAAAGATTGAGCAACGAAAAGCCTGGCTTGAATTTCATTAAAATTGAGTATTAAAAGCATACTCTTACAGTTGGAGTGGAGTGGATGGAGGCTTTTGATTGGGACGGGCTCTTAGTATATGCATGGCTTGGAAAACTTTCTTCATTTGTTTCATTGGAAAACTTGCTCTTTTTATCTCTCTGTCCAGCCATGGCCCTCTCCCCACAATATGCTTTGAAGAACATCTAGCTCTCCATAAAACGTCTAGCAAAAGAGAAAAAATCCCATAGTTTCCTAAACGCCTGTCAAAAAATGTAAAAGCAAAGGAATTTCATATCAAGTCTTTGTCTTCTCTTACACCTGAATTTGATTAGATGTGATGCTAATGTTTAGGTAACGATGAGTGATGATAACTGGTTATTTGTTAAAATAACTAATGGCATCAGTGTGACCTCCTAAAGCAAACCCATGAAAATCCGGCTGCAGGTTTCCAAGGAAGCTTGCGCTTTCCATCCATTCCCAAGGAATTTGAGGGGAGCCACCCATTTTTGCCAGTGGTTTAGTTACGATTAAAACTAATAACTTTTTGGCCCACTTCCTTTGCTCAAGCTGCTGGGAAGCCCAGGCTTCTGTTGCTCAGCGTTGCTTGCATCTTCCAGATTCTCAGTTGGGGGAAATGCAGTCTGCTCGCTGGCCTTGGGCAATAGAACCCCAGCCATGAAAATTGATGCCACAGGTTTTCACAGCAGCAGCAAAGCCCCAACAGGTCAGCAACCTCAGCAGCTAACCTCTTTCTCCCAACAGGAAACACAGGCACAGTTTTGAGGCCAATACTTCTGTCAGCTCTCTGCTTCATTGTGATCAAGGCAGGGTTTTTTTTCCCCCTCCAGACGTTTTATTTTGAAAGATTCCAGATTGACATA